AGTGACATTTATTCTGAAGCCCGGGAAACTTGATTATACCAAGGCTAATGCTTATCGTCCTATTAGCCTGTCATCTTTCCATTTGAAAATGATGGAGAAAGTGGTAGATAGACATATTAGGGATGGTGCACTGAAAATTCATCCTTTGCACAGAAACCAACATGCTTACCAAATAGGTAAATTACCAAAACTGCATTGCATAATGTATAACATGCATAGAGAATGCTAATGAACACAAGGATATTGCTCTTGGAGCAATAATGTAGAGGGAGCCTTTGACAGAACCTCCTTTGACACAATAAAACAGGCTGCTGAAAGGCACAGCACTGAGCCGCAATATGTAGATGGATCTGTGCCATGCAGGATAGCAGGAATATAAGTACTACATTGTCTGGAGCGATCCTAAGAGTGTCTGCGGCGAGAGGGTGTCCACAGGGGGGCTGTTCTTTCCCCTCTCCTATGGAGCCTGGTCATGGACGATCTTCATTGGGAGCTCAACAGTACAGGCCAGTTCACAGTAGGATATGCTGATGATATAGCAATCCTGATTAATAGGAAATTCCTGCACACTGTAACAGAGGTCTTACAAACAGCCCTGTATACAGTTCAACAGTGGTGCAAAAGGACAGACTTGTCTATCAATCCAAACAAGGCGGTGATTGTACCCTTTACTAGGAAGAGGGGTATAAAGGGGCCTCAAAGAACCAATACTCTTCAGTAAAGCGATCCAGCTGTCCAGTGAAGTCAAGTACCTTGGATTAACATTAGACAAGGGGCTGACATGGAAAAAACAGCTGTATAAGGCTATTACTAAGGCCCATAAGGCCTTCTGGACGTGTAGAGGCATGTTTGGGAAGACTTGGGGAGTGACACCAAGAGTGGTACATTGGATATACACTGCAGTGCTAAGACCCATAAACACCTATGCCGCCACTATATGGTGGCCTAGAGTCAAACTCAAAACAAGTCAGGCAGAACTTAGCAAACTGCAAAGGGCAGCCTGCTTGGGAATTATGGGAGCAATGAGGACAGCTCCAACAGCTGTAATGGAAATTCTGCTAGGACTCCCTCCACTGCATTTGCAGATGGAAGCAGAGGCCAAGTTAGGAAACTACAGATTATGTTGCAATGATCAATGGAGACCTAAATCTGATGGTTTTGGACATGCATACATGACTCAGGATATGGAAACAGAGCCCATCCTACAGATGGGGTCTGATAAAATGCTACCGAAACATGTCTATAATAGACCCTTCACAATCAGATTTCCTGATAGAAGTGAATGGAAAGAGGGGTTTCAACCTGATAGAAAGGGGGGACTAATCTGGTATACAGATGGTTCCAAGACAAATAAAGGCACTGGAGCTGAAGTATACCTTCAACCTTGGTCAGTACACAACAGTATTCCAGGCAGAGGTGTATGCCATTAAGGCATGCGCAGTTGAGAATATGGATAGGAACTATAGAAATAGGAACATCTATATCCTATCAGACAGTCAACCTGTGATTAAAGTACTTGGTACACACCGAATCACTTCAAAATTGGTTTGGCCAGATGTATAACAGAGTACAACTGATATGGGTGTCAGATCATGAGGGTATTGTAAGGAATGAAACCGCAGATCAACTGGCAAGAACAGGATCTGAACAGCTGTTCATAGGACCTGAACCAGCTTGTGGCATCTCAATTGGAGTTGCCAAAGAAGCGATCAGGGACTGGACTGATAGAAACCATAAAAAATACTGGGAATCCAGAATTGGACTTAGATGGGCAAAGGGTTTTATTGCAGGATCCTCTACCAGACGAACAAAGGATCTGTTGAGATTAAACAGAGACTAAGTAAGATTGGTGGTAGGATTACTTACCGGACACTGCCACCTGAAAGGACACCTTTTCAGTCGGTTTTTTTATGGAACCAAGTGACTTTTATGTTGCTGCTATAAGCAGGGTCTTACACTTTATTAAAAGTGTAGGATTAATAAAGGGCTGATTCAAGGGGAAGCACAGTAGATCATTGAAGGTCGCAGTGCGAGGGCCGGTTTTTATGGCCCACCCCTTTCATTCATACATACATACATACATAGTCTGACACTAACTCTATACAAGATCGGTGCATTGCTAATTGTATGAAACTCAATATCAGTAAAACTCAAGTTATATCCTTCTCCAAGAAAACCAACAAACTGATCTACTAGTATAAACTTTGTTAATTATCTCTAACCCGTACCAATTCTATAAAAGACCTAGGAGTGTTTATTGATGCTAAACTTGTATTTCCATGAACATGTCAATAATACAGGGTGGGGCGCAGAAACTTCCTTTTTTTGAAGGCGAATAAAAGAAAAATTATTGCTGATACACAAAATTTATGTTTAGCTAATGAAAGAACATACTTTAAAGTGTTAAATCATGTAGGTTTAAACAAAATATCTTGAAGGTGGTGGCCACCGTTCCCTATGCACTGATGCAACCTTTTCTGAAGTTCCCCTCTGCACGTTCCAACATGTGCACCGGAATTTGGGCTACTTCCTGCCAAATAACGTTCTTCAGCTGAAGCAGGTTTGTGGGGTGATGTTTAAAACCTTTGCCTTGAGGTATCCCCATAAAAAAAATCACAGGGCATTAGATCAGGTGAGTGCGCTGCCCACAGGATGTCACCTCGAAGCGAGATGACGGTTCAGGGAACTTTGCCCTCAAAACTGTCATTGAAGTTCAGGCTATGTGGGCCGTGGCACTGTCCTATTGGAACCAGACATTTCCTAGATGCATTTCTTCAAGAGCTGGTTTGAAAAAGTTTTTAATCATGTCCACATACCGCTGCGAATTGACAGTAACTGCATGATTGTCTTCTTCAAAAAAATAAGGGCCAATAACTCCAACTCTCGACAACACACGCAATACTGTCACCTTATCACTGTGAGGTGGCCTCTCATGGAGCTCTCTGGGATTGTTACCACTCCAATAGCGCATATTCTACTTGATGACATATCTGGATAGGTGAAAATGTGCCTCATCACTAAAGAAAACAAGTGCGTCAGGGGGTAAAGTTTCCAATAATGTTTCGCACGCCGTTATTCAGTTCTGGAAATCATGTGGTGACAATTCTTGCACAACAACCATCTTATAGGGATGGAAATGAAGATGTTCATGAAGAATTCAGCTCATTGAATGATTGGATATGTCTAGGGCGACTGCATGTTTGTGAGCGGAGCGTCTTGGAGATCTCAAAATCGACTGTCGAACTGCCTCCACATTTTCTGGCATCGTAACGGCCCGTTGTCGTCCTGATGATTTTTTTCACCACACTCCCGTTTGTCCTAAAGTTCTCTACCCACAAAACAATCGATTTCCGGTCAGGAACCGCACCTCTGGGCTTAATTCCGAAGTGAGTACGGAACGCACGCTGCACCGCCATGTAGGAATGGTTGTTCGAAAAATAGGCTTCAACAGCAAACGCATGCTGCTCACTCATCCACCTCATGTTTCCTACTGAGGGGTATTAGACAGAAACTTTTGTGACTGCTATGTTCGCCAAGCCTATCCCCACTTTTCTGCGACCTCCGCCTCCCTTCACAATGCGTCTTCAAAAAAAGGAAGTTTCTGCACCCCACCCTATATTTTATCTTACTGTGTTAAGCTGTTGGGTCTATTTCATAACGTTACTTTGAATTTCTCATCTCTAGACTGTATGCTCAGATTGTACGCCGCATTATTTAGTTCTAAGCTTGAATATTCGTCCGTAGTCTGGAATTCAATCACGTCAACTGATGCCAAGAAGCTGGAACGCATCCAGCAGAGGTTTTTGGCCCTCTGTTTTAATAGTTTCTTTCCTCAAGTCCATTAATGTTATTTTCTTGCTCTGGAGGAGTTAAAATTGCACCCTTTACACATGAGGAGGCATCACCTCAATGCTCTCTTTCTTACTCAAAATTACGTTGGTTTGAAATTCTGCCCTTCTGTTTTGAAAATCTTTGGTATCCGAGTTCGTGCTCAATATATCAGAGACCTTGCATTGTTCATTGTCTGTTCCTCATGTAAAAATTGACCCTCTGCTAGATGTGCATCAGCTGCTAATGTTGTTTGCAGGGATGTTAACGTATTCGCAGCCAGGAAAATTCTTCTCAGTCAACTTTTATAATATAGTATAATTGTAACTATTATTATTTGCACAAACATAAACTAAAATAAAACTGAATTAGTATCATTATCATCACCATCATTCTTTCTAAATGTCTGTACCTTACATTTCTCAATTGCCAATTAGATCTGTGATAATGCTGTTGTTTCCTTATATTCCTTAATGTGTTTTTCCTCAAATGCTTATGTTTAATTATTCTTTGACTTTATGTTGTGTTTGTCCAATATGTAACTACTTTTATCTACACTGTGCTGTGTGTGCAATTGGCCGTGCGGCTGTTGGCTCAGCACATAAATAATAAAGAACTGAATTATTACTACTGTTGTTATATGAGCGATGAGCTGTGGTAGGTCTTAACATGCACATGCTGAATTAAATACACTTGGTCGTTGACTTACGACCGGCCACACTTACGACCACAAAAGAAAAAAAAAAGAAAAATAAGAGATTATTAGAATGTAGAAGTTTTTAAAAATAAATTATAAAGATGATAAAAAGATTGGAAAGGTTAAAAAATACTGTTAATAAATATATGGCCAACATATGACCAGATCGACTTACAACCTGTCAGTCAGAAAGGAAGTCGGTCGTAAGTTGACGACCAAGTGTACACAGGAATTCCCTAAGGATCGCAGTCCAAAAAATGAACTTTAATGATTATGTATGTACTTCCTGTACACATTTATCTGACTTCATTATCACTTTTAGTGCGCTTATTGCAGTATGTAATAGTATTGAAAGAAGTGGTCATTTCATAAGACTTTGTGTGTTTCATATCTGATTATAATTTGTCTCCTCATATAAGAAACATTTTTCATCATATTATGGTGTGTAGCACTGATGAAAGAAAATTTAATTCAGGTGGAGAAGGGAACAGAACAGATACATATTTAAAATGTATGGAAAAATATGATCAGGGAAGAAGTCGGTGGTACACTTTGGCACCAATGCATGAAACAAGAGCTTCATTTGGTTGTGTAGCAGTGGGCAAATTTTCTATGTCATGGGAGGATATGATGGCACATCTTTCCTGAAATCAGTAGAAAGGTGAGTTTAAGTGTACGTAAGATTACTTTATTCATATCTATGTTTATTCTGCATGGTAGTGTCTCTCCTGGGAATAACATTCTTGAAAACTCCCATGGTAGGAGAATTCATGTGTGGTGAATACTGCAGTCTGGCTGCAGTTTAATGAGCCCTTGTATGAGTGCTCACCCATCTGCCTCAACAGCATTAGCCGACAGTGACATCAGTCTTATCCATCATGAAACCACGTTGACCAACAGACATGTGATGGTCAGATTATTATTATTATTGGAGGGGGTGGGTTTCCCCATGCACCGCGACCAGTGGTCTATTGTATGTCCCCCTGTGATATTCTGCCAGTCTCTATACCCTACCGATACTGGTGCATGCCATCAGTCCCGACTCAGCCAGTGAGTTCGACCTCTACTGGCTCAGCGGTATCTAGATGCTTCCCCCATCTACCAGAGGCGTTAGAGACTATTGTTGGGCGGGAAATGTCCTTAATAATTTGGCTCAGAGGCCTCCTTGAGGCATGAGGTTCTTTTTACATGCCGTAAAGCTACGACACGGGACCCACGGCTTAAAGTCCCTCCCGGAGGACTTGTTCCCTGAATTTTTCCACCCTTAAAAATTCCACGACCTCTGCCTGGTTTGAACCCGCGTACCTTGAGTCATGAGGTGGCAACGTTACCCCTAGACTATGGAGGCTGCTGATGGTCAGATGCATAATAATTATTTGTGACCAGTGTTCCACCACAGAAATGTGTTTAAACGAAATGTATAGTAAGTCCATTTAGGTAAACATTTGTCTGATAAATTTCCTATCCAGAATGGTCTAAGACAATGAGATGCTTTATTGCCACTCCTTTTCAACTTTGCTTTAGAATATGCCATTAGGAAGGTCCAGGGAAACCAGGTGAGACTGAAATTAAACGGGACACATCAGCTGTTGGCCTATGCCGGTTATGTGAATCTACTGGGTGATAATGTAGATACCATAAAGAAAAACACACAAACTTTAATTGACGCAAGTAAACACAGAGAAAACTGAGTATATGTTGCTGTTTCATCACCAACATGCAGGGCAATAACGGGAAACAGATGTTTTGAAAATGTGGCACAATTCAGATATTTGGGAACAACAATAACAGATCAAAACCTGATTCAGGAGCAAATTAAGAGGAGATTGAACTTGGGTAATGCTTGCTACCATTCAGTCCAGAACCTTTTGTCTTCTCATCTGCTTTCCAAAAACAAAAATTAGAATATACAAAACTATAATTTTGCCTGTGGTTCTGTCTGGGTGTGAAGCTTGGTCTCTGACATTAAGGGAGGAACATAGACTGAGGGTGTTTGAGAACAGGGTGTTGAGGAGAATATTTGGACTGAAGAGAGTTGAAGTGACAGGAGGTTGGAGAAAACTGCACAGTGAGGAGCTTCATAGCTTTTACTCTTCTCCAGGTATAATTAGAATGATCAAGTCAAGGAGGATGAGGTGGGCAGGGCACGTAGCACGAATGGGGGAGACGAATGTCTATAAGATATTGGTGAGAAAGCCAGAAGGAAAGAGACCACTGGGAACACCAAGGCGTAGGTGCGTGGACAATATTAGAATGGATCTTAGAGAGATAGGATGGGATGTTATGGATTGGATTGATCTGGCTCAGGATAGGGACCAGTGGAGGGCACTTGTAAACATGGTAATAAACCTTCGGGTTCCATAAAAGGCTGGTAAATTCTTGAGTAGCTGCAGAATTGGCAGCTCCTCCAGAAGGGCTCAACTCCATGAGTAAGTAAGTAAGTTCCACTACAGAATGGTCCAGGCTTCATTTGCATACTTTGTGGCATTTGGATATGAAATGAAGATCTGACAACAGTGTATCCTTTCTAAGTTGAGGCTTGCCATATCACATGTAAATGAGGCTAAACTCAGATGAAAAATAGAATAACATAAATACTGGGCACTACAACATGTAAAAAGCAATAAAATTACATTAAAGTAATATTTTATTTGTCTTGAAACCAGAGAGTTGTTGCCTGGTGACTCATAACTGGTGATAATGATGAAGGATAGCAGGAGGTGGGCCCTGCTGAGCCTCTGTCTCCAGCTTTTTCAGGTTATCAGTTTCAGAGCCCTGTGATGGTAATGAAGAGGATGGAGTGGCTTCAGGTTCCAGAATATTGTGACATGACTACATCGTCTCCAATGGTATCTCCACCATATCATTGTGGTGGGGTTTGAGAGCTCCTGAGACCCTGAGAGCTATACTGGCGGTAGCGTAGCTACTGGTAGGGCCACCCATGCCGGACAGGTCAAGGGGTAGGAGCCAGACAAGGAGGGATACCCTGGTCCTCCAGATTGGGGGTTGGGCGTGAGGCCAACAACCTCACACTGTAAAATCTAAATTGTTCACAAATCCGAGGAAAGAGTTGCTGGACAGACCTATTGAAGATGATGTGGAAAATGTTTAAAGTATTTGAGAATTGAATCTTGGAACGTATTATCTCTTTACAGAGCCGGAGCACTAAAAATGCTACTTGATCAACTAGATAGCTATAAGCTAGATATCACTGCTATACAAGAACTGAGGTGGTTGGGTAAAGGAGTCATGGAAAAGAGAGATCATGTTGTATTCTACAGTCGTCAGAAGAAGAGCCACGTGTTTGGAACAGGTTTTATTGTTAAGAAAACAAAGGAAGCATCTTATTATAGACTTCCAGGCAAAATCTCACAGAACATGTAGGCTACCAATTAAGGGAAAGTTTTTTAACTGTAGCCTTATTTGTGCACATGCCCCAACTGAAGATTAAAGTGATTAGGAGAAAGACTCCTTTTATGATGAATTGGATGAAATATATGGCGAATGTCCAAAAAGGGACTGTAAAATAATCGTAGGGGACATGAATGCTAAAATGGGGTACGAGGATGTATATAGATCGGTTATTGGAAAACATAGCCTACATAACAAGTCAAACGATAATGGGATGAGATTAATAAATTTTGCTTCCTCAAGAAACATGGTAGTCGGTAGTACAATGTTTAATCACAAGGATATATATATATATAAACGAACCTGGAAATCCCCTGATGGAAATTTATTTAACCAAACTGATCACATCCTAATAGATGTAAGACATTGTTCAAACTTGATGGATGTCAGGAGCTACAGCGGGGCCAACATTGACTCTGATCATTACTTAATAATATCAAAGATTAGAAGTTGAATATCTAATGCAAGGAAGATAAATTGAATGGTGGAAAATTGGTGGAACAAGGAATTGCAACCACATATACTGGATTAATTAGTGAATGCCTGGCAGGTCTCTCTGATAGTGAAGATGTCAGTGAAGCTTGGAGGGGCCTCAGAGCTGTTATTGTATAAATGCTGCTGGTGCAGTCTTAGGAAGAATGGGAAGGATAAAGTATAAGAATTGGTCTGATGGAGAGTGAGCAAGTGACAAATAAAAAAAACCAGGCATATAAGAGAATGCAGCAAAGGAACCATACTCAAGGGGCTGTGGAAGAACAATGTGAAGCGAGAAGAAAAGAAAAAAGATTGCATGCAAAGAAGAAAAGGGAATATGATAAACAAGAACTGATTGAACTGGAGCATTTAAGAAGTTCAAACGAAATTAGAGCTTGATTTGTTTCATTCTGGTCCGTCACACTAACAATTACAAAGACAAAAACAACACCGTCCAGTGTGATTATTTAAGTTTTATCACTTGAAAACTCATCACCCTTACATGTTTCGATCCCTACGCATCATCCTCAGAGGGCATCAATACTTTTTCCAGAAACGACTATTACAATAGGTGTTAAATTATATACGTACACATATAATGTCTGAAATACACAATGTACACAATGTTCAACTTTTCACAGACACAGCAGCCTTCCTGGTATTAAATTTTGTTTAAAGTTCTTTAAAACTTTGTTGTTTAAGATTAAAATTTATAAACCATGCATGTTCGTGTTAATTCTATTGTCTTTCTTGCATGATTTATAAATTTTAATCTTAAGCAACAAAGTTTTTAAAAAATGTTAATGCCAGGAAGGCTGCTGTGACTGTGAAAAGTTGAACATTGTGTACATTATGTATTTCAGACATTATATGTGTACGTATATAATTTAACACCTATTGTAATAGTAGTTTCCGGAAAAAGTATTGATGCCCTCTGAGGATGAGCCATAGGGATCGAAACATGTAAGGGTGATGAGTTTTTAAGTGATAAAACTTAAATAGTCACACTGGACAGTGTTGTTTTTGTCTTTGAAATTAGAGCGATTTATCAAAAACTAAATAAAAGTCGAAAGGACTTTCAACCTAGAACAACCTTATGTAGAGATAAAGAAGGCACGATATCGAGTAGCGATGAAGCAATATTGGAAAGATGGGTGCAATATTTTGAGGAATTATTAAATGGTAATGCCTTCGAACAAGCGGAAAGTATGACCATAGACTGGAATCAAGGAAATTTTGAGGCTAAAGAGCCAGCGCCGACCATAAAAGAAGTAGAACAAGCTATTAAAAAATTGAAAAATAATAAAGCTCCAGGAATGGATCTCATCACAGAGAATTAGTGAAATTTGCAGGCCCAGAATATGCTAAGCACTTACATCAGCTTATAGTTAAGATATGGATTACTGAAATAATCTCAGAGGAATAGAACCTAAATATTGTATGCCCTATTCATAAGAAAGGCGATGTCATGGTATGCTCTAACTATAGAGGAATTAGTCTGTTGTGCATAGCATATAAAATATTTTCCAACATTCTATTTAACAGACTCTCTCCCTTTGTGGAAGGCATAATTGGGGATTACCAATGTGGATTTCATGAAGGAAGATCAACTAACTATCAGATTTTCACTATTTGCCAGGTCCTGGAAAAGTGTAATGAATTTCAAATTGAAACACATCATCTTTTCATTGACTTCCAGTCAGCCTATGACTCCATAGATATAGATAGTCTTTATCTGGCAATGGAAGAGTTGCACATTCCATGGAAGTTAATCGC